AAAAATGTGTCCTGTTACACATTTGTACTTACACATACCATTCAGTGGGTTGTTACATATGTGTAGTTACACAAACATTACAGCTCTAGATACTATGTACCAATGTGTACTTACACTGTGGTTACATACTAAGTACACATCTAGTTACTATGTAAGTACACAGGTATTAGGGACACTTAATATAAAGTGGGACAGAGGATTCTAGTTGAGACTTGTAGTTATCGAGTAGCTTTTGTGCAGTGATTTCAGTAAAACTGCAGTCGTCAAGAGGAGCCATGAGCTTTCTGAAGCATCGGTGGCCATAATTAGCGGCATGAATCATTCTAACAACTACTGATCGTCATAGCTGCGAGCATTTTCGCATGATCATCCATTATGACACAGATACAGCCGGATGTAGAGTCGCATAACTGAGCGAATCAGATGTAAAGCAAAAAAGAGAGCTAACATAGCTACAGCATTTTTAACTGGCTTTATGAAATCAGAAGACTTGATTTACAGGCATGCTTGGATAATATGTAGAGTTGCTTCATAACTTATGTTTGGCAGGAGAAATGTGATTCGATCCAGTCAGTATCTGATATTCTGCAGGATACGCAGTTATGTTATGAAAAAATATTAAAAGAGTACATTTTCCTAATCAAGTATATACAGTGGCTCCGAAAAGATCATGAAAGATATACTTAATAATATGTCGTTTCACTATATATCACGCTAGGTGGCATCTGCAAACAGTATAAATAATGCTAGAGCTTTACTCAGAAATAACTTTACTTTTCCCGTCATTTTTACATTGTCAAGGTAGTTTTTATAGATGTTCACCTCAAGTTTACACAGCAATCATAGGTTCATCACAAGAATTATGAACATGTTTTATTAATGCTTGAACAAACAAGTGTCATTTTATGTTTTTCTCATTTATGGTTTAAAATGTTTTATTTATACTTGACAGGTGTCTATTGCTTAAATCTAAATCATAAATAAATATCACTTGGTATTTTATGTATTCTAAGACATTAATTTTTTGAAAAGTGTTGAGAAACTTTTTTTTTTTTTTTTTTTTATGTAAAGAAGTAATTAAAACATGTGTTCTGGTGTTATAATAAATTAGTCACATTTTCAAGTTTACTTCCACTATCATTGAATATTGGATCTGGCTTTCACATTTATGATTAAATAACCACATTTCAAGCTTTTCAGTTTGGTAAAAAAACATTTAAGCATGTAAACGACTCTTCTGAACAGTGGCTACACAGAAAGCATGTGACATTTATAGAAAGTAAAAAGTTTTACCATGTCGTGGTCCGAGACCGGCCCGATACTCGTCACGAAAATGTCAGTCTTGACTTCGGTTACACGCTCTGTTGAAGCAAGAAATTAGGAGTTTGAGTATCAATCAGTGTTGGTCATTATAGCATTTTCTTTTCTTTTCACAAAGCATTAAAATTTCAAATCACATCAAGCAAACCTCACTATAACCTATAAATACTTGGGTGTCATTTATGTGGAAATGCACCTTACTTTCTTGCCTCGACGAAAAACAGCATGTCTATGTGCCATGGAACGATGACTGATGTTGACAGAAGTTGTTAGTCAGCTTCACTTGTTATTTATGACATGTTGTCACTTTGTGGGTGCTAAGGTAATGCGAGTAAGGTCAAACAGACGTGCTGAAAATTAAAAATTATATGCCGCATGTGTGAGAAGTTCCTTGCCAACTCAATGAATCATTCAGTTCGGTTCAAAGCTAATTTATGTCAGGTGTTAAATGATCTGCATTTATGTGGAAAACAGTGTTCGGTAGATGTGCTTTGTTCATAACAAAACTGCTTTCCACCATCGCCTTCATCACATTTTTGACGAGGCATGCTTTTGCATTTAATGTCTTTCAATGACTATACTTTCAAAACTTCTTTCAACATCTGATCTCTTGCGTTCATTAAAGTCATACATAATTTCTTTCTACGATTGTTTCATAACACTAGATTATTGTAACATGTTTAGCAAATTGCACTATTTTAGTTCTGTTATGTAAGGTGTACATTTTCAAAACTCTTTATACAAAAATCCAAACTGATCACACTTGCTGATCATTCTTCCCAAACCTGAACACATACTTTCATTACAGTTATGTATATTATCAATCCACATAATCATTGTTTCAAAACACTAAATTATTATATGCATTGAGAACATTTTTGATCTTCTTTCCATTTTGTAACTTTACATTCATCTCATTCAGTTGCAATTAATGCAAGATACTGTATGTTTCAAATCAAATTAAAGATGTTACATTGTTACATTAGATAATACAACTACATTAACTATGTCATGTAACTAACATAATATCCATATTGTAACAGTATGTTTGTAATGGTATGTTTGTTATAGTCTCTCTCTCTCTCTCACACACACACACACACACAATCACTCACTCACTCACTCACAGACACACACACACACACACACACACACACACTCACTCACACACACACAATCATTTCACTCACTCACACACACATTCACTCACACACACACACACACACACACACACACACACACACTTTGAACATTGTGGTTATCATCTGACAAAAATAGTTTATACTGTAACAAGAACTCCTTTATAAACCTATTTCCGAACAAAAAACGATTGGAACATTATTGGTCACTGATTTATTTTCCTGACGAGAAAAAGTGCTGTTACATCCGTTTGAAGATGTAAGTTTAGAAATCTCCCACAGGGCTGAAAACTGGGACACAAATGTACGAGGCGAGAAATCATCAGAGAAACTTCTCTGCGCGTACCTCCGAGCCCAGGCCTGAGACGGTTGTCGTAGCCATCGAGGAGGCTGTCCAGAATCCTGGTGAAAACTGTGGTGTTGTCTTTCTGCTCATCTGCGCTTTGACTGGAGCTGACAATGCAAAACAGCAGACGTTTTATTCAAAACCCATACCAAAGGGTGGCTATAACACACTCTGATGTGAAAAATCAATGCAACACCCTCCTTGGGGTAACTCTGAAACATCCAGCCTGCTTAAAGAGAATTTACAATGCAATAGCCTGCAGATAAACAACAAATCTCCTTCCGTCTTAGGAGCAAAGGGGGATATACACAGGAACAATGCATTATTAATTAGCTAAAATACTCTTTTAGATGCAAATAAGCATGAGTTCTGGCAACACGAAGCCAAATCCTAAAAGACAAACCCATGAACTCTGTCGCTCATAAATATTTCAGACAATGCTTATGAGCAAAATGCAGTTTAATCATATAGTGCAAAATGGTACTTCATGAATAAGAGCCTGTGAGGACGATGGCCAATTTGTGCTCCTCTAAAAACAATCACCGGCTGGTCGTTCATACATAATTGCTTGCTTTTTTGGTAGTCATTGGCATTATTTTCCCGCTGGCAGGTACTGGACCACAAATGCGACTGCAGACTCAATAAACACTGTTTGGTGTTTCAGAAATAAGCTTGGCATGGAAACAGATTTCAAGGAGAGGATGAGGTCATCGCGATTAGTTAGCATGAACGCGTTTTCAAACAGAGAAAAGAGAGAGGGAGAGACGCGGCAGACCCCAAAAGAGAGAGAAATGCAAGTTGTGTCCTGTGGTTTCGTATTATTGCCGGTAATTCCACTATAAATCTTCCCCTAAACCAACATGGACAACTATTGATTCAAAGCAGTTAAATAAAATGTAAGCTAAATTGTCAGATGATATATGCTGAGAAGAACAGCGCGTGCTTTTTCTGCTCATTTCATGCACTCATTTCAATCAGCCTTAATGTCTCCCAGCAGAATTTCCTCTGTGGAGTCCAAAAGTCTGAGAGCACTTTGGTGATTTTCAACAAAATGCTTTACTATTTCTAGGTCACCAATGAGCAAATTTCGATGTTGACCATTTTAACTCCTTTCTACAAAGGTCAGATTTCCTTGCTTCAATTAATACAAACATTTTCACATCATACTGATTTGTACAAACGTGCAGACTTGAGCGGTATGCTCTCAATTTTTGTTGCCATCAAATTCTGATTCGTTTTTATTTTCGTTCTACAATAAAAAAAAAAAAAAGCAAAATAGAGGCATTTTCACAAGTGGTCTCTCACACCTTCGGACCTCAACTGGATTCTGGCTCAAAATACAACGAGAGTAAAAATAAAACGAGAAGACTTCCACCCTCCCCCATCTGTGCAGAGAGACGCACATGCACACAGACCTCATGAGCGACACGGAAAAGGGGTCACGAGAGGAAAACGTAGTCTCATATATTACGCATGCATGCCAGTGCAACACTCACAGCATGCTGGCAATGTCAGCCTGACCCAAAATTACATCTCCTCTCTTACCTCTCATAAATGCACAACAATTCAGAGCTCAGGGCATTTTTATTTAGTAATAATTAACTCAAATATACATTTTGGCAGGTTTAGGAACCATACAGACATGAATAACACATTGCAAAATCCATGTGCTTATGAGCAGCATACAGATCCCCATTAAATATTGCACAGCAACCCCATCTGCAGGTCATCTGAACAGCAACAGTGTCGAATGCATGCTGTCCAGAGCCACGGTGCTCTCACAGCACAGCTTACAAATGACACCCTGTATGCCTATGGCATTTTTAAAGTATTGTTATAAAATATTCATGAGTATGTCAATATCGCTGTGACGGTCACCTGTCTAAACGTATAAAATATGTCTAGCATATAGCATTTTGCAATTAGTATTTCACAACTATGCTTTTTGTAAAATAATGTAATATAATGCATGATTCCCTGAACATCTTTATGTATTATTATAACTAATCATTTCAAAGTAAATCTGCAGCACGATTCTCTGCTAACAGTACACATGAATCCAAGCTGTATTCATGAACATATAAATATTACACTTCAGATTAAAACTTGAGACCTCTTTCAAGCCAAATCCTCCCAAAGAAATATTTATGTTTGTTTACAAACCTTTGCATCTGTTCTTACATTTTAAAATAGTGCCTGGCTGCATTTTTTTTTTTTTTTTTTAGAAATATCTTACTAAATGTTTTTGTCTAAAGAAACTAATTCACTGATGTTGCTTATGGATTACAGACACACGCACAGTTTTTTTCTTATTTATGTCAGCAAAATTCACCTATAAATGAATAGCACTCCACGAAGCAGTATAGCAGTAAAAGACTGCAGAATGAAAACCTTAATGAAAGCTTCATTAGCATGACATCCTCTTTGAAGTCTGAGGTTCTGATCTTGGTCTAAGTTAACATTGTAGGTTTAGATCAAAGACTTACATTTAGATCAAAGTCCTCACATATTAAACTGAACATTACTGTAACTACAGCATAGAGAGTGCTCTTTATCAAAAGCAGAGAATGTGTTAATCATTCCAAGATGTGAGTGAAATATGCACCGACCTCAGGTGCGTAAACATACCTTTTTCCAGCCAAAACGCTGGTCCAGAGAGTGCTCTTTATCAAAAGCAGAGAATGTGTTAATCATTCCAAGATGTGAGTGAAATATGCACCAACCTCAGGTGCGTAAACATACCTTTTTCCAGCCAAAACGCTGGTCACCAGTAAACAGGCCCAAATCCAAAGCCAAGCTGCTCCTCTTCCACCCCACATCATTCTCCAAAGAATGAATCCCCACTAAAGAAGAAAAAAAAATACATTCATTCAAAGAAACCATACTGGAGCGGAGGTGTGTGGTTGTCAATACCCATACCATAGCATTGTGATTATAGGGAGCATATGCAATTTTCATTTGTAATATAATTAAACATACGCTTTTAGACAGACAGGCTCAAAAGAAGTAGGTCTTTAGAGTCAGCTCACACGCAACTACTATTTGTCATGTGAGTTGTTGATCCGCAATAGAGTAATGTGAGACACTGCATACAATGCATTTAATCATCTAAACACAAATCCTATGAAAGCACAGTACCCTATGCCAGTTTAACAAGTGCTGAACAAAATGTTCATATTTCCCCTTTTTAACCTTCTAGATATAATTCAAAGCCTGAGCATATTTACTGGAGGCATACCGTGCTTTGATGTAGTCCTGACCCCTTTACAGCTTACATATAGTGTAGATTAATACTACAGCAGCAATTATATACCTGATCAGAATTAAGAGTAAACAGATATCACAGTTTTGCATGACACAATACGACAGTCATTACGTATATGCCACACGACCCACTATGCAAGTCCTCAATGTTTAATCGCACTTACCCATTTAAGAATATTAATACGTGCTCATATACATATAGGAATGTGCATCAGAGTTCTATACACATAAAAACACAGGGAGCTTGGTTGGCACTACGCATTAACGCAAATCATTCCACACGCGTTAATCCTGCATTAACATCATACAGCATGATTTACAGCTGCATGTAAAAACCTTGATCATTCGCCGAAGCTCTCTCCGTGATGCCGACATTCAGATCGCACGGGATATATTTGGGCAAAATTCCCCGACTTTCCCAGGGATTATAATGCTTACACAATCCCTACCGTACACACTTTTGAGTTCTGTCGCGAGAGTGCATCGTCAAAAGCACGTTTTAAGGTATCTCGCAATTAGTATTGGGCGTGCGCCTCGGGGTTGCTCCTAAACATGTGTAGTAATTCAATTGGAGTAATTAAGCAAACAGTGCGCACATCGCCAAGTTCACAGCAATCATGCGTACCACAAACATCATGCAGAGATAAAAGTACCTCATAATTTTAAGTTTCCAGGAATACGGCACTACCTTTATGCAGTTGTGATCCCTCAACCCCCGGTTTTACAATATCCAAGACACAAGCACTTACGTTAAATCGATTGCACCTTATCGTCAAACTTTTGAACACGTCTTTTCTGTCTGGATGCGAGGAGATGATGCTCTGAGATGTGAGCTGTGCTGAATTTGAGCTCGAGGCTGCTGCTGCTGATGATGGTGATGCTGCCAAGCGCGCAGCTCTCGCGCACTCCTCATCGAAACTCTTCCCAGTTTACAGCAAATTAGTCACCTACCAAGCCCAAATCCACAAGAATAAAGCTTTACTACAGCAGCACACTGGTGCTATGTCGCTTAAACGAGATCGCTTGAGTGCATGGCGATTGTGTTAGCAGTGGTACCAATCTCACATCGAAAGACCAATCCGTCCCATTTTTATATGCAGCACAATTTCACTTGCGCTGCTGTCGACTTAATCTCGTTCAGTGGTTGGGAAATCAAATCCGCTTACATTTTTTTTTTGACCGGATCTCGCCTCTTTCGTGCTCTCTTGCGTTGCGGTAGAACAATAATACACGGCGCGTCGTATCCGTCACAATTAACATGCTATTAATTATTACACCAACATTGTTGAGCGCTGCCACGTTAAAGGCTTGCCAGACATGCGTGCAACAATATGCATGCCAATCCGCAGTGCATGCACACGCACACAACCCAAATAAAGTGAAATGCATGCATCTCTCACCGAAAAATCCCGATGGCTCGAATCTTTCCCAAAATCACCTTGAAGCAGTCTCGTCTCACCGACTCACCCACCGCCTGGAATATCGTACAATATGATTTTTTTTTTTTTTAATCAAACGCTTAAGGAAGATCCGCAGTCCTTACAGCGCATCTGTAGAGGAGCTTTTCTGATCATTTGCGTACGAGGACACAAACTAAAAGCCGGAGGGTGTTTTAAACGTGACATTAACGAGGAAAATAGCGCAGTTTATTAGAGGCCACGTCGAGAGCATCGATCTCCGCCTGCTGGGTGTTAGAGAGCGATGCTGGGGCGATCTGAAACATTAGGACAGCTTTCATACAAACTCCACGGCGTCTTGACGTTTATGCGTCCGTGTGCATGCTTAACAAGAGATGACGACGAGTAGCCTAGTAGTTCCACTTTAACCTGAAACAATGCGAGCAACAGCTGCAACACAAATACTTTTAGTTCTTAAGTTTTAAAGAGCACGTTGGTATGCGATGTCTTGGTTTCTTAAATTCACCGTGTTCCCATCCTGGAACTACCTGAGCAAAGAAAGTCGGATCTCGCGTATCACTGCACGTTTCGCACGTGACTGTGCAGACGGCGTCATGTGCATCAGGAAAGTTTTTTATTTGCACAGCGTACCCTTCATCTAATCAGCAACTCATAAATGATTCACATTTATAGGGTGGCATTAATTCTAATGCATGGTTCGTAGGCTATAACTTTTCCCGTTTCGCTTCAGCACCACGGACAGCCACGAGACTGCAGACAGCTTTTAAAAAGGTTTCTTACAGCAAACACGTGCACTGGAGGGTTGTGAACAGCGGTGGTCTTCTTGAAGACACAGACCCCCACACACGATGAAACCTTTGCATGATTAAGCATTATATTAGACATAACACAACATGATGTTTACAAAAATACAAACAAACATACATTAAAAAAAAACAATAAAATCACCGATCATAGTTGCATGCATATAATTTTCTGTGCAAGGTTAAACCTCTAAAATGTATTTAATAAGCGTAAAATAAGTAAAATACGTGGACACAATTGTCCTGCTATTCTGTTAACATAGTGAAATGAATGTATAGCCTACATTGAATGCACAATATATAAAAGTTTTTGACAAATGCTCATTCTCTGTTTATTACAGTACATTTTAGTAATTTTGGACAGTAATTATCGCACTTCTCAATTTCTTTAACAAAAAAAAAAAAAAAAAATGAATTGCAAAATGGTGGTCATGATGTTAATGTCATGTATCAAATGCCAGAATCAAGTGAAG